AGAGTGCTCCTAATTGCTGAGCCCCTCCAGCACCCCAGCCTCCGCCCTTACCCCCATCCCAACCAAGAGGCCATCTTGGTCAGACTCCTCCCCTTTCTTTGCAGCTCCGTTTCTGATACGAGACCCTGGATGTCTCTGCTTGTCTGTCAGCAAGACGGTGGCTTAACTAACAGCTAATGGGTCCAGCTATGAGTACATCGATAAAGACAGATTGGTTCCACGTTCTCTCTCTCTCTCTCTCTCTCTCTCTCTCTCCTCACATATGGTCTCACTGTGTAACACTGGCATAGAACTCCATGTACATTAACTCAACCTCAAACTCATAGAGATCCTCCTGCCTCTGCACCCCAAGTTCTGAGATTACCAACATGACCCGCCGGGCTCAGCTGGCTCCAGCTTTACTTTTGGAGAAAGAATCTGATTTGCCCTGGTAGAGTCGAGCATTCACCCATTTTCCGACGATCTGAAGCTAAAAAAGTGAGTTAAGTAATATAGACAAACTCTCTAGAAGACAACTTGTGTGAACCAGTCATTGGCACCAAGAGTCCCCATTGTGGTCACCATTTCTTGAAACCCAGATAAATACAGACTGAGCGATTTCTCAGCATTGTATGATGGACCAGTTTTATATGTGCTTCCAGATAGGGAAACCAATTTACACCACAAGAGATGGAGCCCAGAGCCCTCCAAGTAGGAAGCTGCAGGGCATGAACGGCGATGTTGTCTTTGGCTGGTACCCGTACACTCATTTATCTGAGCTAACTAGTCCTGAATGCCCAGGTGGATCGTGTAATAAGATTCATGAATAATAAAGAGATCATTACCTCAGCTGGCTAGTTACAACCAAATATCCTCTAGTTTCAGAGGATACTTAGCAAACTAATTAGCATTCATTACCCTCCTGGTCCCACAAGAATGATTCATGCTAAGTCCTACGTAAGCCAAATCCTGGTAATATGATTTGGAACAAAAGGAGCCTGGAGCTAAAGATGACACCAGAAAGAGTTAGCTTTGGCACAGCCGAAGAAGGCAGGTTCTATAGACGCTAGCGTGAAAGAATGGACTGGACCCCTTGGGCTTAATATTTAGAATCTCGGTGTCTCTCCCCTTTGCTTTCTCTGGCAAATACAACAGGCTGTATTAGCTGTGTTCCTTCTGCTGTGAGCAAGTACCCAACAAGAACCACCTCAAAGGAGAAAGAGTTGATGTTGGTTTACGGTTCAAAGGGAACCCGCAGTGAAGTGGGGTGGGCAGGGCAGCAGGAGCAGGGGGTGACTGGCCAGGTTGCGCCTGCGGTCAGGAAAAAAGCCACCAAACGAGAAGTGCAGCCGGGCAATAAAACCTCAGGGCTCCCTTCCTCCACCAAGGCTTCACTTCTAAAGGTTCTAGAACCTTCCGAAACAGCACACCAGCTGGGCATCAAGGGTTCAAGCACTTGAGCCTACAGGGGACATTCAGGTTCAAACCACCACACGGATCAGTTGATGGTGCCTGCAAATGACAAAGTCGCCCACCGAGCTTCAGAAATGATGGGAACAACCCTTTCTTGTGCGTGTGGGAACCCAGTTGCCCTCCGGCCACAGTTTCCAGCAGCTCTCTTTCCACACACATCCAGGTATACTTAAAACTCACGGTGCCTTCCTGTGCTGCCAACTTGCATGCAACCTGAAGGCATCTTTTCCTGGCTACTGCCTCAGCTTTCTAACCGGGACTCTGCTCTCCACAGTGTGTTTTTCCAAAAAGGCAAGTTGTCAAACAAATGGCAACGGATGCCGGCAAGGACGCGGACGAGGGGAAATCCTTCACACACTGCTGGTGGGAATGCAAATGTGTTTGGCCACTGTGGAAGTCAGGGTAGGGGTTCCTAAAAAAATAAATGAAAAGTAGATCTTCCATTTGCTCAGCTGTACCAGTCCTGGGTGTGTCACCAGTGGATTCCAGGTATCACAAGATACACTGACACATCACTGTTGGCTGCAGTACAATTCACAACAGCTAAGCTATGGAGCCAGTGTGGGAATAGATAAAGAAAACATCACACACACACACACACACACACACACACACACACACACACACGTCAGGCTGTTCTTTTGTCAGCCATAGGGAAGAACAAAATTATTTCATTTGCAGAAAATGGACGCAACTGGAGTAGGCAAACTGAGCCTGTCTCAAAAAGATCAACATCACATGTTTCTCTCACATGAGGGTCCTAGATGTTTTTATAGATACATAAAATCATCATCTATATAGGACATAAAAGTAGCTGCAAAAATGTCTAAGGGAACAAAGAGGACTAAAATGAAGGGTGAAGGGGGAGAAAGGGATGACCGGGAGTATAAAGAATATGCATAATGTGAAATACATACATGTATGAAAATGTCTCTGTGTAATACAATGCCTCATACGGTGACTATGTACAATGGAAACTTTTAAAAAATGCAAAGTAAAATTGGAAGTAATACCATGACATTACCCTTTCTAGAAAGTTCCACTGCTATAGCAGCACTACACTTATTTACAATAACTCCCCATTTCCACAACTGTTTGTTCAGAACCTGATCGATCTGGCTATGCCTAACCCCTCTCTCCCTCCTCCCTACCCCCACTTTCCACTGGTCTCTGCCTTTCACCCTGTGAAACCCACCCTGCTGTCAGGGCCTTGGTGTGTGGGTGGTGCTGGGATCCAGTTCAGGACCTCCAGCACGCTAAGCAAGAGCTCTACACCATCCCCAGGCTTGAGCACTTCAGCTGCAGCATGCCGCACAGCTGGTGCCTTTCATTATTTATGCCTTATGTCTAAGGTCTAGGCAGAGATGCCTTCCCTGGCATTTCCGCCACAGTAAACCTACCTAGTTCCCATTTCCTCCTCAGCTCCCACGCTCATGTCTTCTTAACAGTCACGATGAGAATATTAATATATGCTTTTTGTGAAGCAAAAAGGCATTTATCTGAGATCTTAGAATTATAATTCATGGAGCACAGATTCCAGTAGAAACCTTATCCTGGTAAGGAGGGGTTTAGAGGGTGGGGGGAAAAAGTATAAGTGAATTACTTGTTTATCCAGAACGATGACGGAGGCTGCTTGCTCATCAGTGGACAAATATCCGGCTCAAACCACACACACTTGTAGGAAAGACTTTGGTTTGTTCAGGTATATAAAGGGTGGTAGGCAAAACCCATAAACAGAGGCTGAAATCGGGGAAGGAAAGTTTGAGGAAACCCAGAAGCATCTTGATAACCTGCATCAGGAGAGACCCACCAGGTTCCACTGCTCCCAAGTGATTACGGTTATGATCAAGAAAAATTATTTCTGTGGAATATGACCCCTGGTGGGATGCATTGTACCAAGGAGGGCCCAACATTCCCTGTGCAATAATCTTGCTAAAAATGCTTTGCCTTCATCTGATGTCAGGAAAACAGATGAGCCTGGATCCACAGTTGTTCCCTTAGCACACAGCTCATAGCATGTTCTCCGTGAGTGGGTATAAACACTGACAACAAAAGAGTAAAGAAGAAGCATCCGGTATGGCCAAGATGTTTAATTATAGCAATCTATTAGTGGAAATGTGTAATAATATATTCATGTTTTGTAGGGAACGTGAGGTAATGGCTCTGTGCTGTACTTGAGGTTTTTAGATGATGAGAGTGAGCTTTACCCAAAGAAATATTGTGCCCCCCCAATATATTGTGTACCCTAATAAAACTTATCTGGGGTCAGAGAACAGAACAGCCATTAGATTAGACATAGAGGCCAGACGGTGATGGTACACACCCCTAATCCTAGCATTCTGGAGGAAGAGATCTATCCGGATCTCTGTGAGTTCAAGGCCACACTGGAAACAGAGCCAGGCGTGGTGGCACATGCCTTTAATCCCAGCACTTGAGATCTCATGTCTTTGCTTGGGAAAGACACATGCCTTTAATCCCAGGAAGTGATGGTATAAGGTGGGAGGACCAAAACTGGAGACTTTTAAGCTTTTAGGCTTTCTTAGCAGCAGTTCAGCAGAAACACTTTTGGGTGAGGACTCAGAGGCATTCAATCTGAGGATTTGTGGAAACAGGATTGGCTGAGGAGTTGTCGAGGTGAGGTTAGCTGTGGCTTGTTCTGATTCTCTGATCTTTCAGCATCCATGTCAATACCTGGCTCCAGGTTGTTTTTTATTAATAAGACCTTTTAAGATTCATGTTACAAACATATTGTATTACCTTGGTGAGATTGTGCTACCTGGATCCTGGTGGTGTTCACATGGGAGGCCGAAATTAGAGGGTCAAGAGTTTGAGGCTGGACTGTTTTAAAAAACAAAAACAAAAAAAAAAAAAAAAAGAGGGCCAGTGAGATGGCTCAGTGAGTGTGTAAGTACTTTTGAACCCCCAGTATTAGGTTTCTCCACTCATGCAATACGCCAGATCAAGTCACATTAACAGTAAAGGGCCAAGTTTAATCTGAGCAGAGCATTCCCAGGTGATCTCAGGGAAAGAGAAGAAATCATGTGGCAGGTCTATGGACTGGAGCTTAAATACCCCGTAGGCTCAGTCTTTAGCAGCTCCGAGGGAGGAGCAGCCACTTGGCGGGCTTCCTTAGGGTCAGGGTTTGGAAAGGGAGGAGGGGGTGAGGCAGAGCTTCCAATGGAACAGGTACTGCCAAGCTTGACAACCTGAGTTTGATCCCCTGGACCCACATGGTAGAAATAGAGAACCAGATCCCACAAGTTGTCCTCTGACCACCACACATATACCATGGCATGCACATACATGTGTCGTGCACACACACACACACACACACACACACACACACACACACACACACACCCCGCTGCACCTGTGGAGGTCAGAACGTGACCAGTGAGGAATGTTTCTGGCAGGACAGCAGCCCGCCCAAATCAATCATATCCTGAAGCAGCAGGGGTGTTCTGGTCATCCACGCCGCCGCTGCCGCGTGTGAAAACCCTCACTATGGCTTAGGATTCTGGAACTTAGTCAGGTCTCACTCGCCTCAGCAGCAGAGGGGCTACCATCCCACGTCTGGAGAAATCTCACTCACCCACTCACTGCTCTGGAGGCTGAGACGGTCAGTCTGGATGAACCGCCTTGAATGTTGAGCCATCTGCAGTCAGGATCACGACCGTGAGTTCCATTTTTTAAAGCAGTGAGCTAAAGTGGCTCCGATAAAAAACGGGGAGGGGGGGAGGGGGCGAGTTTTACTTTTTTCCTTCTCATGGTGTTGTGCGCTGAATGTGAAACGCCCCTTGTAGGCTCACGTGATCGGACACGTGGTGGCCAGGTGGTGCTGGTGACACTGTTTGGGAAGGTCATAGACCACTTAGGAGGCGGTGCCTCCATGGAGGAAGTGAGTCACTGGAGGCAGTCCCCGAGGCTTCAGAGCGGTGGTTCTCAACCTGTGGGTCATGACCCCTCCGGGTGTCAAAGGACCTTTTCCGAAGGGTTGCCTGAAGACCGTCAGAAATATCAGGCATTTCCATTACGATTCGTAACAACAGCAAAATTGCAGTTATGAAGTAGCAACAAAAGTAACGTTATGGTTGGGGGTCACCACAGCATGAGGAAGTGCGTTGAAGGGCCGCAGCATCAAGTGGGTTGAGGACCACTGACGCAGAGCCTGGCTGAACTTCGTGCTCACACTCTCATTTCTGGATGCAGAAGCGATGCGTCCAGCCAGGCCTCCCTCTGCCAGCATGTGTCCCCTGCTGCTGCCCCGTCCTCCCCACCATGACCGACTGTGTGCCCCCGGAACTGTAAGCCACGATAAACACACTCTTCCCTCTTTGCTGCTTTCGTTTGGGACATTTTATCCAAACGATGAGAAAGGAACTAAGATAAGAAGAGGATCAGAGAAAGTGTGAGTATCCTGGAAAATGAACGTTAGAACTTTCTTCCTCTGGGCCGGTGAGATGGCTGCGGAGGGGGAGGGGGGCGGGTAGCAGGGTTGCCCTGAAAACTTGATGAGCCCTCAGCGGGAGAAGAGAACCAATTCCTGGATGGTGTCCTCTAACTTCCACACTCACACTGGGACACGTGCATGCCCACAGCCACACGTACACCTCACACATCAATAATAATAATAACAACAACAATAATAATAATAAGCAAATGTGAATTAACCAGATTAAAAATGTAAGCTGTTTCTGGCACAAGGAAGACAAAGATTGCCACGTCAGGGCCATTACGTTGGCTCAGCAGTACTACCAACCCAGACTCCTCCGGCCTTTCTTCTCTTGGCTTCTCTGGTCCGTGCCGATGTTATGTTCACATCACAACTGCTCATTGCCTGGCATTGCATTGGATTCTAGGCAGGAAGAAGGCAGGACGTGGTCTGTTCTTTCCTCCCCCGCGCTCTTATAACCCAGGCCGACTTTCTCATCGATTTAATTGCCCAAGATGTTTCACATGGCTCTGTCAGGAGCTCAGTTGAACCGGAAGAGGGGCTGAGCTGTCAGGGTGGGAGAAACCAATTAAGATAACAAGGAGTCAAAATGACAGCAGCAGCTGTGCCGTCTTTTCTCCGCTAGTGCGGCAGAGGAGCTGTTCTCCCTGCTTCCTAGTCTCCCATTGGATGCTGCACCTCCGGGGCCAGCATGGGCTGCAGTCAGGTGCATCTGGACAGATGTGGGGCCTAGACTGCGCTCTCCGGACTGGACTGAGAAGCAGGACAACTGCCCCGGGGTCCTCTGAGGAGAGGCATGCCAAATAGGGCAGGTCTAACTGTGGCCTGACCTGAGGAACTCACACGGGTGTCCAACCAGGAGTTAGACTCCTCGTTTCTGCCCGGTGTAGCTGGAGTTTTCTCCAGTCCCGCTCAGGCCCACAGCCGCTCAGACCCAAGTAAACACACAGAGACTTATATTACTTATAAACTATATGGCGTGGCAGGTTTCTTGCTATCTAGTTCTTATATCTTAAATTAACTCTTCTCTATTCATCTATAAGTTGTTACATGGCTTCTGGCTTACCGGTACTTTACATCTTGCTTCTCATGGTGGCGGTTGGCAGCCTCCCCTCACTCAGCCTCCCACTTCCCAGCATTCTCCTCTCTGCTTATCGCGCCTTTGCTGCACCTCCTGCTTGGCTACTGGCCAATCAACGTTTTATTTATCAACCAATAAGAGCAACACATTCACAGCATACAGAAAGACATCCCCAGCAGCCTGGGTAGAGGGGAGGTTGACCCCGGTGAGATGGTTGACTAAGGCTCCGGATCATGAAGCTGGCTTTATTCACGCTAGACAACAGCTTTGTCGCCAAATTACAACCCTAGCCTGTGTTCTTTGGGGGTTGTTGTTATATTGGTTTGGGGTTTTCAGACAAAGTCTCTCTACAGTTCTGTAGGCTGGCCCAGAAATCTTTGTAGCTGAGGATGACTCCACACTTACGATCCTCCTTCATCCACCTTCCAAGTAAGTGCTGGGATTACAGGAGAGAACTGCCATGCACAGTTTATGATGGACTGAGGCTCGAACCCAGAGCCCTGTGCATGCTAGGCAGGGGGCTTTACCAGCTGAGTTACATCCCGAACCATGACTTTTGTTTTTGTTTGTTTTTGAGACTGAGTCCTGATATGTTGCCCAGGATGCCTTTCAACTGGAGATTCTCCTACCTCTACCACCCGGTGCCGGGATTACAGGAATGTGGTTCCCGGTGAGGACATTTCTCTCATGACTACAATAAAATGGCAAGGCAGAGGTGCAGAGTGAGTCACGAGATGGGCATCAGCTGTTAAGCATCACAAGCTTAAAGGAGGAGGCTCAGTTTTGTTAGATATTTACCTGCTTGGTAATTCAACTCTAAGTCTTAATATAGGTTGCAGAGAAAAACTGAAGAGTGGACAAAGATGTATCCTCTGATACCCACCGGGTGGCAAGTGAGGTTGGTGACTGGGACACCAGTTTCTCACACTGAAGGCAAATGGGTCTGGTTTCCATTCAAATGCTATGACAGGAAATGGTCTGGTATCCTAACTCTTCAGCCATTCCTGCCTGCCTTGTGTGACCACAGCACTACAAAGTGGATCGGGGGTAATTTTAGGCAGGAGCAGATTAGCATGCTTGTCAGCGTGAGAGATTGATAATCCAAGATGGAGTTCGCAGTTCCTCGGACTCTCTGTGGCTCTGTGTGGTCAGTTACCATCCTCTTGTCAGCACTGGAAGGTCATGCTCAGGAAAAGAGAAGAAGACTCGAGAGAGAGGATGGGAGGAGAAAGACAGAAAGACAGACAGATAGACAAGAAGGGAGGGAGGGAGGGAGGGAGGAAGGGAGGAAGGGAGGAAGGGAGGAAGGGAGGAAAGGAAGAAGTATGTTGGAAGGGAGAGGGAAAGGAGAGACAGGAGCAAGGACAGAGGGAAGGAGGGAACAGAGAAGGAATAAAGAGGAGGAGAGAAGAGAAGGGAAGACAGATAAACGGAATGAGAACAAGAAAACAAAACAAATCAAAATCTCCCTGCTAAGTTCATTTAACATTTAGCTCTTTCTGTCAATGTAAGAAATGAATTAGCCATTTCTTGGCAGCTAATTAAAATTCCCGGTAAGCTCTTGCCTGACCCTTGGGTCAAAAACAAGTTCCCTGTGAGCCTCAGGAGAGCTTCTCTCCTGAGTGTCTTGGAGGGGAGGAGAATTCACATCCTGTTCTCCAGTTCTCATCCTATGCAGGGGCAGGCAGCAGTGGTCCTGGGGCTTGGCTCGGGAAAGCTGGACCTGCATCTTAATTCTCCCCTCGGTTTTTCCTCCACTCTGGAAACAAGGTCCCGGGCACAGCTGGCAGGACACGGCTCTCCTTCATACTGCTGTGAGAGCATTGGATCAAGACGAGACACGAAGCAGTGGATGAAGGATGTCTGTCTGCTGCAGCTCTGAGCCTTGATCACTCGGCGGAGCTGAGGGAGGCGGGACTGGGACGGTACTGCCAGGTGTTTCACAGGTGTGGAAACATGCCAAGGTTGATGTCTTCCTTTCCATGAGGCAGTGGAACCCTTGTCTGCTTTAGGGCCCATGAGTGAATCCACACGGACAGTAGACTCTTTTGCAGCGTTCGGAATTTTCCATTCTCGCAGGCTTAGCCAATGCTCAAATTCCTGGTGATTGACAAACCTTCTTCTGTTGACACCAGATCCTGAGAAAAGAAAATAATCTTTGACCTTAAGTTGTTAAGGGTTTTGGACACATGCAAAGCATCTCTCTATGTCTGTATTTATATGTGAGGGCTTTCCAGTATGGAACATCTGTGGAGACAGGACGTGGTTCTGATACTGTGCTGTCAATGGAACAGAAGTGTGTGTGTGTGGCTGGGGGGGGGGGAAGGGGGGTACACATATAAAGAAATTCAAATGATGCTCGCTAGTTAGCCCGGGGAAGGGAGACTGACGTTAACCTGATCTTCAGAGTTGCTAAAAACCTGACAAGGGAAATCTGAATTTGAACCAGCTGCCGAGACCCTGTTGGTTATTCATGTGTGACCAGAAAGAGAAGCCAGCTTTAATTTTCTCCTTGTCAGTTTTCAACAGGGAGGCTGTCACTCAGGCCGGCGTAGCTACGGAACACATTAGAGAAGAAGGGCAGAAGCCAGCCTCCCGATGACACCCAGCCCAGGACAGCTGCGCCATCACCTTTCCATCACCTGTCTCAGTCAGCCCCGGCCCTGTTAGCTGTTCTTTATTGTCCTGGCTGGCATGATGCCCCCGGAGCCTTCACACACTGCATTTCCAGTGAGGAAACAAGAAAAGGCATCAGGTCACCGGCAATTTCTTTTTTCCAGTGGTGAAGGCCAAACCCCAGGACCTGCGCAGGTTGTGCTGGTGCTCTGTCCCTTAGCTCCAGCCTCAACTCAGACACTAGGAATTTTAGCCATTGACACTGTGAATTCCTTTTCCTGGGTCACTATCCGGCACCAAGAGGGGATTCTATGGTCCCCAGTCACAGATCTGGTGGTTGGTTCCGGTTAATTTAACAAACATTCGTGAGTACTGTGCTAAGTGCTGCCAAACCATCTGTCAGATGTTAACAGTCACAGACATCTCCCCCAAACCCTACGGTGTTTAGAAAATGTGGTACATATCCATCCATTCAATAAATGTTTATTACTATAAATTGCTGTGATATTCCTGCTGTAAGAATACAAAATAAGCTGCAGAGATAAAGAGGTACTGTGGGCAAAGGTATAAACTACAAAAGACAGAGCAGCCAGGAAATTCTCCAAGGAAGTATTTGAGCTGAACCCCCAATGATGGGCGGTGAGGCTAGCAAAGACGGAGTGAGAAGAGATCCAGGCCTATCTATAGCCCAGAGCAAGCTTCTGGAGAACCCACACATGCAAGCAGGACCAGGCCCTCCGGAGCCGCGGAAAAGCTGTAAGGAGACAGAATTCACGGTGGCTATGGGAAGTGGTTGGAGACTTAATCGGCTGAATTATGATAACACTTTGGCTGCAGAGGGTAAAAGACACCGCAGCGCACAGGAGGACGAAGCAAGGGCTGCATTTTGGAGGCTGGACAGCAGCCTCGGGCGGAATACTGTTCTTCCCAAAAGAACTCAGACTCTAGCCAGGTTCATGATCAAATTCCCGTTGAGTCAAGTATCCGACACTGAGACTGTGTTCAGGGGGATGGTTTTCTCTCATGATTTGAATCATTATAGCCTTAGACTATCAGGATTCCACCGACTCCAGATTTAAGAGCTCTGGAAAGAAATGAATCTTGTCCTATCTATCTATCTATCTGTCTGTCTGTCTGTCTGTCTGTCAGTCAGTCTGTCTGTCTGTCAGTCTGTCTATCTATCTTTTTTTTTGGTTTTTTGAAACAGGGTTTCTCTGTGTGGTTTTGGTGCCTGTCCTGGAGCTCACCCTGTAGACCAGGCTGGCCTCGAACTCACAGAGATCCGCCTGGCTCTGCCTCCCGAGTGCTGGGATTAAAGGCATGCGCCACCACTGAGCACCCAGCTTGTCCTCTCTATCTTGAGTGTGTCATTTTGAAGCACTACCAGATATGTTTGATAAGAGGCAGAGTTTGAGGCTGGGCCATGGAGAATGTCTTAGTGAAAATGACGCTTGCTCCGCTTTGTGTTCAGGCTGTATCCCCAGCACCCCGGGCAGAGTCTGCCCAGACACGTTACCATGGCAGTCTAGGGCAGGATGATGGCTCAGCAGGCAAGAGTATCATCAGGTGGAAGCCTGATGACCTGAGTTTGAACGATCTCTGGATCCTTAGAAGTAAAATGCAATAAAAACAAAAGCTGGGCGCACACATCGTAATACCAGCACTCTTGTTGGGAATGGAATGTGCAGACAAAAGAATCACCCACAAGCTTGTGGGACAGCTACCCTGGCTATGGGACCCTGCCTCAAAAACAAAGTGGAGAGCAAAAATTGAGCCCTAAAAGTTGTCCTCTGACTTTCATATGCACTGTGATACAGGCATGTCTGTACACACACACACACACACACACACACACACACACACACACACACACACATACACATTTTTAAGTCTAGTGAGCACCACAATTCATACTACAATGCTACAATTCGCCCTCAGCAGTACTGCAATCTAACCACCTGGAAGTAGCCTTAGGGATCAGAGGGCAATCTGTGACATCTGTCGTCCTCACTGATTGTTGTTAGTACAGCCTTGGACACTAGTCTCAAGGTTTAAAGACTGTCTAGTGGGAAGGGCCGGAATGGACCGCCATCTAATCCGACCTTGGCATGCTAGCATCCAAGGCTCATGGCCCCAGGAACTTCCTGCCAGTGGGGCACAGCCCTGTCTATCCAGTCCCCCGCCCCTTCCACTGCTTCCCACCCTCAGCCCTCATCCTCTAGGGAAACACTGCAGATCAATATCTTGCTCACACACAGGGTCTTCCCGGTGGACCCCAGGCCACCACCCTACTTCCCAGCTGCATTTTCCTCTACCCCACTTCCCACCCTGCACCAAGACAGGGGAGCCCTTTGTGGGAGCAATCAAGCCCTAAATCACTATTTATATTTCTTGGAGTAAACTTTATGCTGAGAAAAGGTTCTGGAATGACTGCCCTGGGGACTGAGGCCCATCTGGAAACATGAATAATGTGAAATTTATCCCTCCATGGATCCCCCTCAAGACCAATTACAATATCATCCTTTCCGAGAATTTCTGCCAATTTTTTATGGGGTCACCCGAAAGTTATATGTAAAGTGAAGACTGCATAGATTTATATAGGGGGGTATTTAACTGGTGGAGAGAGGAATGCAGAAATAAACTACAGGAAACGGTGATACTCCACAGATGGAGATGTGTGGAAATTTGGCTCTTGGCTTCAGGAAGTGAAATGGATTTATTCATTTATCGAAGGACTACTGTGTCTGATGCTCTTCTAGGCTCTGGGGAGAAAGGGATGGAAGACACTAACGTTGCCTCCATGGAGCTGGCGTTTCAATGGCATGGGAAGATGGGCCAGAAAGGGTCCATTTTGGAAAAAAAATATGTTGCCAAATGTCAACTTGTGACTTTTAGCCCTACTTGTGGCTATGTGAAAAAACGGAGTTTCTTGCATCAGTCTAGCTGAAGAGGTGTGTTACCCATACTTTTTAAGAATGTTGTACGCCTGGAATTGCACTCATTTTTGGAAACTTCTGGAATAAGAAGAGGAGCAGCATGTATGTGTTCCCTCAGACTTCTCCTCAAGCTGCAAAAGTTCAAGTGAGTGGTATTTGGCAAAAGGCTCTTAGCTGAAGCGATCCCCTGACAATGTGCGCGGGGATCTGAGCCAGCCGGGGTCTCACTCAGCTGCAGCACTCTGACTAGGTGATGAGCACACATTATCATAAAATTGCAGAGTGGTTGTAACTCACCACATCATGGCCAGAAATTATCTGCTGCTTAGGGAAAATGTCAACGAGAGGTCACCTTCTTCAGTGTCGGTAGTGCTTACGTTTTTTGTTTCCAAGGACTCAGCAAACGTGTCTGTTACAGGATGATCCCAGCCTCTCCCCCTAGAAATTCCGAATGCGAGGGTCTGGGCGATGGTCCAGGTAGTTCTAGTTCACCGGCGTCCCTGCCGATTCTGCAGCAGCAGGTGGCACCACACTTGGTGAGGAGCCACGGAGTGTTTAACTGTTGGCTAGGGGGTGGGGCGCACAGACCTCTACTTCCACCCTCCGGGTTGCAAGAGTGTCTTGGCCAAGATCTCTTCCTTGGAAGGGAAGGAGAAAGGGAAGCTGATGGGATTAGTTTCCATGACTGATTATGGTGTCTTCCTTTCTCTCATGCATTCAAGCAACATAATCCAGCAACTTCAGTGGCCAAGGTCCAGGCTCCCTCCAGAGGATGGGTGTCACAAAAGGCTTCCTCCTGCCCCGGAGCATAGAAACGGGGACCAGCCTGAGCCTCCTTGACCCTGAACTCTGCCCGGGGCTTGCTCAAACACTCTCTCATTTATCCGTCTCGAGAGTTCCTTCCTCAGTCCCCTCAAACATATACCCATTTTCTCATTGCTGGGATGAGACACTTGGCAGGAAGCAATGTAAGGGAAGCAGTGTTTATTCTGATGAACAACTTAAGAAGGGATAGAGCCCGGCATGGAAGGGAAGGTATGGTGGTCCAAGCGTGAGGCAGCAGCTGGTCACCTCGCATCAGCAGTCAGGATGGAGAGAGAAGGGAACGCGGGGGCTCAGCTTGCTTTTCACTTTTTTTTTGTTTGTTTGTTTGTTTTTCAAGACAGGGTTTCTCTGTGTAGCTTTGCGCCTTTCCTAGCACTTGCTTTGGAGACCAGGCTGGCCTCGAACTCATAGAGATCCGCCTGCTTCTGCCTCCCGAGTGCTGGAATTAAAGGCGTGCACCACCACAGCCCGGCGCTTTTCACTTTTATTCAGAGCTTCACCCCTGTCCACAGGACAGTGCCGCTCACACTTTCCTACTTAACCAAACTCTTCCAGAAACTCCGTCATAGACATAGGTGTGTTTCCTTGGCGATCCTAAATCCCATCAAAGTGATAATCAAGATTGACCATCACAAAGTACTTCCTGCCTGTCTCGGAAGCCCTTTGCCCATGGGCTGGGGTTGTGGATGTGAACCTCTGTGCCTGGCTGTATGCATGGTTTCTGGGAATCTGAACTGGAGTCTTCAGGTTTGCAATGGCCGGCACTTTTCCAAGGGAGCCGACCTTTCCTCCCCCTCTTTAGTCAACTCGCTCTTTTCCACTAGACCATATCAATTCATTTTCCCCATCCCCCCCATAGACATCAGCATCGCTACTTCCTCACAAGCCTCTTTCTCTTAAGCCTTGTTTATTATCCTCTTTCTTCTACCAGAGTGTAGGCTCCATAGGGCAAGTGCTTTTCTCTGTGTTCTCTGATACGTCCCCGGGTCCTGGAACAGGGTCTGCATATGGAAGGCTTTCGATTCCATTCATTTAAAAATGTGTCAAAGAATAAAGAAACCAATGAATGAGCGGAAACTCCTTGCCTGCCCTCCATATTCCCTGCCTGGTTCATTTTCTCCGGAGAATGTCCCACCCTCCACTTTGTTCTACAACGTATGCATTTGTTCTCTTACTGTCTGCACACACACACACACACACACACACACACACACACAGTTAATGTCATATGTGGGTTTCTCTCATTCTCTCATGTTTTCCCTCTTCACCATGAAGAACACCTTGACCTTACACTTTATAAATATTAATTGGATGGGTGGACTTTGTGATAATAGAGTTAGGCTCTTTGCAAGTAAGGAAACAGATGCCCAGTAAGATTGCATGCCTTTTGCCCAGTCATTTATACAAGCAGCATGTGGCGGGGGTGGGGTGGTCACGGGTAGAATTCAGACCTGTGTGACCTGAGGCCTGTGCCCTCACAGCACCCCACCTGTATAGTCAAGAAGATATGCGGAGTGGGTGCCAACGCATGGGTGGAGTCTGGGAAGCATGGTTCCCTCTGCTCTCGAGATCTTCCCCTCCTCTTCACCTAGCTAACTGTCAGGAAGACTAAGTCATGCCTGGGAAGCCTGTTTGGCATACCCACATGCCTGGAGCTGAGGCCTTTGTCTCCGTTCAGCCTGGCATGCCAGTTGCCTGCTTC